ACATTCACTGATGACGCCAAACACGCACACACTCGAAAATTCGGCAAACGGAGCGAGCTGTCTAGCCGCGTGGGAGGGCCACGATGTGGCGCGCTGCCTTCCGCCCGAGTCGTTTTCTTAAACGCGCCCAGAAATCGGCCGACTTGCCCACGCGTTTTGCGGTCCCTTGCCGGCATGGAGTTTGCCGGCCCCCTGGACGAGTGAGGAGCGGCGAGCGATACGGAGAGAGGGCGCTCATGCGCAGAGATCGTCAACTTTCATAATAGAGGGGTTTTTTTTTTGGGTTAGATCGCGTAAATATATAAATGTGTCGTTAAACCCGCCACCACCCGACACAGCCAACTAGTAAGGTTTGTCACGCGAACAGAACGTGCCGATTCGTTACTGGTACAGCACACCGGTGTGTTGGAGAGCCAGGCCACAACATTTACAATCTGAGTACGACGTTTCGCCAGCAATTGCAACTAGCTTCATCAGACAAAAGCCAGTTTTGTGGAGAAATCCTCCAGTTTCATTTTAACGGCACATTTATATATTTAAGCGATCTAACCCCAAAAAACCCTGTGTTATGGATGATATTGTTCGCTACAGCCTGCTACGCGTTAAACTGAAAGTCACCTTGATTTTTCCGCAAGCGCGGATAATCTGGCTAATTGGGTTACCTGTAAGTGTTATGTTGGTGATTGCATACCACTGTCAATGCAGTCCTCCCCCTTCCTCCACTTAGCGTCATGATTTACTTGTGGCAGACGGAGCACCGTTCATCTTTTATTTACGAGCGGACAACAATTCCTGGGGAGCGTCGGGGTTTCTGCATGGACGTTGGGACCCATTCTCAGCCCAGGCTGCTGGTGGTGGTGGTGGTGTAAGCAATGTGTCGGGACACGAGTGCACCTAGCCTGGCACAGGTGCCGTTGTGACGTCACCGCCACTTAGTGGCGAACGGTTGTTGTTGTTGTTGTTTGTTTGTTGTTTGTAGGGACACGTGTACAATCATTACCCGTATGCGCGACGCGTGTATAATCAACTGGCTCATGTACAGGACGCAACACCACGGACAGACCGAGAGAGAGAGAGAGAGGCAGAGGGCGAAAACTCATTTACCGTGACAAAATGAGAAAGTAAAACGCGTATGAAGACATAAAAGTATATCAAAGTAGTTTTTTTTTTACAAACACTGACGTTGCAAAAGTAGTAAAAAAAACGTTACTGAAACAACAACAATGACATTATTAATAATAATAAATTGCAACTTAAGGCTACATATTGTGAAATAAATATTGCAACACAAGGTCAGAACATTTCTTTTCTTTGTGAGCAGTGGCACCACCAACCTCGTGAGGAGGGAGGGGGGGGTGAGCAGGGGGGTGAGCGGTGGGGGTGAATGGGGGGGGCGGGGGGGGTTGAGCGGGGGGTGGGGTGAGAGGGGGGGGTGGGGGTGAGCGGGGGGGGGGGGGTGAGTGGGGGGTACTGGTGCCCGGTTTAATGCTCCAGGGTCCATGGCGCAACAACACATTCACATTTCTTGTTGTTGAATTTTATTTTTTCGTGTGGTGGACGAGAGACGCTCCTCAATGCCCTGGGGAAGGGAGAAGGAGGACTGGGGGACTCGCTGTGGTGGGGGCGGTGATCGCTGTGGTGGGGGTGGTGATGATCGCTGTGGTGGGGGTGGTGATCGCTGTGGTGGGGGTGGTGATGATCGCTGTGGTGAGGGCGGTGATCGCTGTGGTGGGGGTGGTGATGATCGCTGTGGTGGGGGTGGTGATCGCTGTGGTGGGGGTGGTGATCGCTGTGGTGGTGATCGCTGTGGTGGCGGTGGTGATCGCTGTGGTGGGGGTGGTGATCGCTGTGGTGGGGGTGGTGATCGCTGTGGTGGGGGCGGTGATCGCTGTGGTGGGGGTGGTGATGATCGCTGTGGTGGGGGTGGTGATCGCTGTGGTGGGGGCGGTGATCGCTGTGGTGGGGGCGGTGATCGCTGTGGTGGGGGTGGTGATCGCTGTGGTGGCGGTGGTGATCGCTGTGGTGGGGGTGGTGATCGCTGTGGTGGGGGTGGTGATGATCGCTGTGGTGGGGGTGGTGATCGCTGTGGTGGGGGTGGTGATGATCGCTGTGGTGGGGGTGGTGATCGCTGTGGTGGGGGTGGTGATCGCTGTGGTGGTGATCGCTGTGGTGGCGGTGGTGATCGCTGTGGTGGGGGTGGTGATCGCTGTGGTGGGGGTGGTGATCGCTGTGGTGGGGGTGGTGATCGCTGTGGTGGGGGTGGTGATGATCGCTGTGGTGGGGGTGGTGATCGCTGTGGTGGGGGCGGTGATCGCTGTGGTGGGGGCGGTGATCGCTGTGGTGGGGCGGTTGATCGCTGTGGTGGCGGTGGTGATCGCTGTGGTGGGGGTGGTGATCGCTGTGGTGGGGGTGGTGATGATCGCTGTGGTGGGGGTGGTGATCGCTGTGGTGGGGGTGGTGGTGATCGCTGTGGTGGCGGTGGTGATCGCTGTGGTGGCGGTGGTGATCGCTGTGGTGGGGGTGGTGATCGCTGTGGTGGGGGTGGTGATCGCTGTGGTGGGGGTGGTGGTGATCGCTGTGGTGGGGGTGGTGATCGCTGTGGTGGCGGTGGTGATCGCTGTGGTGGGGGCGGTGATCGCTGTGGTGGGGGTGGTGATGATCGCTGTGGTGGGGGTGGTGATCGCTGTGGTGGGGGTGGTGATCGCTGTGGTGGGGGTGGTGATCGCTGTGGTGGGGGTGGTGATCGCTGTGGTGGGGGTGGTGATCGCTGTGGTGGGGGTGGTGATCGCTGTGGTGGGGGTGGTGATGATCGCTGTGGTGGGGGTGGTGATCGCTGTGGTGGGGGCGGTGATCGCTGTGGTGGGGGTGGTGATCGCTGTGGTGGGGGTGGTGATCGCTGTGGTGGCGGTGGTGATCGCTGTGGTGGGGGTGGTGATCGCTGTGGTGGGGGTGGTGATCGCTGTGGTGGGGTGGTGGTGATCGCTGTGGTGGGGGTGGTGATCGCTGTGGTGGGGGTGGTGATCGCTGTGGTGGTGATCGCTGTGGTGGGGGTGGTGATCGCTGTGGTGGGGGTGGTGATCGCTGTGGTGGGGGTGGTGGTGATCGCTGTGGTGGCGGTGGTGATCGCTGTGGTGGCGGTGGTGATCGCTGTGGTGGGGGTGGTGATCGCTGTGGTGGGGGTGGTGATCGCTGTGGTGGCGGTGTTGATCGCTGTGGTGGGGGTGGTGATCGCTGCACAACAACAATGACCCTGTCTGGGCTTGGGCTTGGATTTGAGACGACAGCGCTCGGTCCAAATAAGCGCGGCTCCCGCTCGGGGGGGGGGGGGGGCGGGGGGGGGGGCGATCGTCGTTGGCCTAGCTGAGACGCCGGGCCAAAGCAAGTAGCGTCGGCATCAACGAGAGCTGGAGTTGTTGTTGGCACGTGTGGCCGGATTAGCACGGTTGGCCACGTACGGTGTGAAAGAAGTTCAACATGCGCACGTGGGAAAACAACGCCGGTCGGGCGAAAGATAATGGGGGGAGGACCGAAGGAGATCACGCGGCTGGGGCGGTGTTACTCCGGAGATGAGGATGGGTCGAAGGCGGTGGGGGAGAGAAGAGCGTGGAGAGAGAACCCGACTCGGTGAGGGAACTTGGGAAAAAAAAGTACGGAATTGTTCGTTGTTTATTAATTTATATTTTTTAAAATAACAATTTTCTATGTTGCAGTGCTCAGTGCAGTCTTTTCTCGCTCTCGTGACGAGGGGGAACGACTCAATAGGGGCCAGGAGCAACCACGGACGAGACCGCCGAAGCTCTGCATTCCTCAGTATATGAAGGTGCTGTTGGCCAACTAATGAGTGTTTTTGCATTTGAAAGGAAACTCGAGCACCCGGAGAAACCATCACGCGTGCGACGCGCAAACCCTCGATCCCTTACAGACGGAACAGGTCGAGTCCACACCTGCTGCGCCGCCTTCTCCTGGCAAGTCACGGCATGCCAACTCGTGAACGCCCGCGGGAAGGGTGTCTCGCAACAGGTGCGTGGTCCACCAACCCCTCCCTGCCTCCGCAGGGCCTGGGTGACGAGCGTGTGCCGCCGCTACCGCCGGGCTAAAATTGTTGATAAATTATTATCGGTTGTGTAAAACATATTTAGTTGCACAAATCTGGACAAATGTGATCGTTGAACTCCCGAATGGGTGACTGGGATGGCACGTTTCAATCGGAATACTGAGGTCACGTGAGTGCCCAAGGTTGTGTGCCGTGTCGACCAATCGTTGTCCATAGGACGCACTTTTGTACGAACTCTGACCCTCCGTTGGCTGGACACAAAGTCCGTCGCTCGCTGCCAATGTCGCACCAAGTTGACGAGAGTTGCTCGGAGCAAAACGAGTCGCTGGTGCCGGCCGCGATTGCCCTCAACGATTGTCCTGGCGCGTTGTCACGGCCACAAAGGTGCCCCACGTTCTACCGTAGAGTTTTAACGACGCGACAGGTTGTTTTTGGGCTCGGCCACAATAACAGGCCAAGTGAATGTTATGCTTTTGAAAACGAAAAAAACGGGAGGTCAAATCAAGGAAAGATTGCAATAACCGTAACTGAACTGACTTTTGAGATGTATACTAAATGACGTGGAATAACAGTGAGAAAGTCAGGGATGGAGAGAGAGAGAGAGAGCTTGGAAGAGCTTGGCTAAAGTAAGAAGCCGTCGCTGGGCGAAGGGGGGAGCAGGGAGGTGGGAACCTGCGATGGGGCCGTTACTGCTGCAGCTTTCGTTACCCACAACCGAGAAATATTCACAACCCTCGCGATCCACCCACAAGCGCTTTACACTAAACATTGCTGCGCACACGAATGTTGGCGAAAGGCCCCGACGATGTACACATCGTGCGACAAACCGCGAGGTCTTCGTCTTTTGTCCGTGTTGGAAACTCCTCGGCGTGGAGTCGCTTCACGGGGAGACAAATCCCGCGGCAGACCGAGCGGGCTGCTTCAGCCGCCCGATTGAACGTTTTTTTTTCTTTCTCCTCCTTCTTCTTCTTCACAGTTTTAATCCACCAGGAACTCTCCCACACGCCACCAACCATCGCTCATCCCCCTCCGTGCACCTGCCCTTGCAGGTGCAGCCCCGAAGTTCTATCTCGCATCCCCCGTGCCCCCCGCGCCGCCCGTGATGACGGCCGCCCGGGCCGGCTCGCTCCGTCTGGAAGCCGCGACCCACCCTGCACCGTCCCCTCTTGAACGGCGCTCGCTTTTCGCGGGGCCGCTCCAAAAACGAAAGAACGACGGAGCCCAATTTGTCAGGGCACCGGATCGCGATGTCACCGGGGAGGAGGGGGATTAGGTTCATGGGGAGGTCGTGTGCGAGGTCGTCGGGGAGAAAGGGGGGGGGGGGGGTCGACTGCTATTTTTTTTCCAGGGTCGTGGTTCAAAAACACCGGACTCACCCCCCCCCCTCCCCCTCCCCTTCTCCGTCCGTCGTCGTTTCGCCGGCGGACTCGCGAGACCGCGCGCCGCTCGCTTTGGGAATCGTTCGTTGGTGCCGCGGGGCCTCGTCCCTCCGGCGCGCTCCGTCTCGGTGGGAGCGGCCGCGGGGGCGGGGGGGCGGGGGGGGCGGGGGGGGCTTTGGGCCCCTAGCATTGTCCCACCGCCCCCGGCCGGGCTCCGTTCAGATCTTGATGTCCTGCGACTCGGACATTTTGTAGAGCGTTTTTTTGACGCGCAGCGCGGTGAGACGCGATGCCGGGTTGTGCGCCCAGCACTCGGACATGAGCTTGGCCATCGAGCGCAGGCACTGGAGGGCACGCGCACAGAGACACACGCGCACACGCGCGCGTCCGTGAGCATGCACACACACACACACACGTACATCCACACGCGCACACAAGCACTAAGGAAGAGGCACGCATACACGCGTATTCGCAGACACAGGAACGTGTGTGTCCTATGTGTGCGTACACGCACCACACACGCGAGGCCTTAACAGACTGTTGGGGCAAGTGCTGTTCGCGAGCACCCTATGAAGGTCGGTATGGGGACACCCACACCTACTTACCCACTCACTCACGCACACACACACTCAACCCACCCACCTCAAACTCACCCCCACTAATAACTGCAACAGGAGTCTGCCGACCCCCCCTGGTTTTAACCCCCCCCCCAGGTTCTAACCCACACACCCCCCCTGGTTCTAACCCCCCACCCCCACACTGGTTCTAACCCCACCCCCACTGGTTCCCCCGTGCCTTCCAACCGCAACCACCGACTCGGTTTAATTGGAGGTTCCCGTAATTTGGCCACTCGCTGTGCGCCCTGCACCAAATCAGCCGTGTTTGTTTTGGAATGCCATTGGTACATAATTGAGCCGTTTCACAGCGCCCGCTTTAGAAAGGCTCAGGCGATGTCTTGGATCTAGAGTAAACACAAATTTAAAACACTGTTCCAATTGACCAGATAAACATACAGCAGGCAGGCATGTGGCACATTTTTTTGGTCGGAGGCCGATCGTGTGTGCGTGTGGCTGTCTGTGTGTGTGTGTGGCTGTCTGTGTGTGTGTGTGGCTGTCTGTGTGTGCGTGCGTGTGGCTGTCTGTGTGCGTGTGGCTGTCTGTGTGCGTGTGGCTGTCTGTGTGTGTGTGTGGCTGTGTGTGTGTGTGCGTGTGGCTGTCTGTGTGTGTGTGTGGCTGTCTGTGTGTGTGCGTGTGGCTGTCTGTGTGTGCGTGTGGCTGTCTGTGTGTGCGTGCGTGTGGCTGTCTGTCTGTGTGTGCGTGTGGCTGTCTGTGTGTGTGTGCGTGTGGCTGTCTGTGTGTGTGTGCGTGTGGCTGTCTGTGTGTGTGTGCGTGTGGCTGTCTGTGTGTGCGTGCGTGTGGCTGTCTGTGTGTGCGTGTGGCTGTCTGTGTGTGCGTGTGGCTGTCTGTGTGTGCGTGTGGCTGTCTGTGTGTGCGTGTGGCTGTCTGTGTGTGCGCGTGTGGCTGTCTGTGTGTGCGCGTGTGGCTGTGTGTGTGTGCGTGTGGCTGTCTGTGTGTGCGTGTGGCTGTCTGTGTGTGCGTGTGGCTGTCTGTGTGTGCGTGTGGCTGTCTGTGTGTGCGTGTGGCTGTCTGTGTGTGCGTGTGGCTGTCTGTGTGTGTGTGCGTGTGGCTGTCTGTGTGTGTGTGCGTGTGGCTGTCTGTGTGTGCGTGTGGCTGTCTGTGTGTGTGTGTGCGTGTGGCTGTCTGTGTGTGCGTGTGGCTGTCTGTGTGTGTGTGCGTGTGGCTGTCTGTGTGTGTGTGCGTGTGGCTGTCTGTGTGTGTGTGTGTGGCTGTGTGTGTGTGTGCGTGTGGCTGTCTGTGTGTGTGTGCGTGTGGCTGTTTGTCTGTGTGTGCGTGTGGCTGTCTGTGTGTGCGTGTGTGTGTGGCTGTCTGTGTGTGTGCGTGTGGCTGTCTGTGTGTGCGTGTGGCTGTCTGTGTGTGTGTGTGCGTGTGGCTGTCTGTGTGTGTGTGCGTGTGGCTGTCTATGTGTGTGTGTTTGGAGCTGTGTGTGTGTGTGTTTGGAGCTGTGTGTGTGTGTGTTTGGAGTTGTGTGTGTGTGTGTTTGGAGCTGTGTGTGTGTGTGTGTTTGGAGCTGTCTGTGTGTGTGTGTGTTTGGAGTTGTGTGTGTGTGTGTGTTTGGAGCTGTCTGTGTGTGTGTGTTTGGAGCTGTCTGTGTGTGTGTGTTTGGAGTTGTCTGTGTGTGTGTGTTTGGAGCTGTGTGTGTGTTTGGAGCTGTGTGTGTGTGTGTTTGGAGCTGTCTGTGTGTGTGTGTGTTTGGAGTTGTGTGTGTGTGTGTGTTTGGAGCTGTCTGTGTGTGTGTGTTTGGAGCTGTCTGTGTGTGTGTGTTTGGAGTTGTCTGTGTGTGTGTGTTTGGAGCTGTGTGTGTGTTTGGAGCTGTGTGTGTGTGTTTGGAGCTGTCTGTGTGTGTGTGTAGAGGAGCGGTAGTGCAGCTGTTAACACACTGTGCTCAGGGTCAACACCAGTGACAATTATCCGAATCGGTCCTGGGCCTCCCCGAGGTAGACTCAACCTCAAGTGAGTATCTGGTGTGATGCGTAAGTGAGTGCGTTAACAGCCGGGTAAGCGAGATGACAGGCGGGCGGGCGGGCGGGCGAGCGGTCGACGGGCGGGCGGGCGGACGAGGTTGCTCACCTCGTCGGAGCTCCACCGGTTGGGGAAGGACGGCCGCAGGCGCTTGAGACAGACGACCTCACGCATGTCCTCGTACGAGGGGTCTGAGGGGACCGTGTCGTGGTACGGCACCTGGTACTCCTCCACGATGCCTGTGCACGCCGTGGCACCGTGGGGGCGTCAACACCGCGGGCGGAACGCGAGCGTGTTCGCGCATGTGCGCGCGTGTGTGTGTGTGCGTGCACGAACACACACGTGTGTGCGCGCGTGCACGCACACACGTGTGTGTGCGTGCGTGTGTGCGCATGCACGAACCCTGGTGTAGGCTCACGGCCAACACCAGTGGCGATTACCTGAACCGGTCATGGGCCTTCCCGCGGTCGACTCAGCCTCAAATGAGTGCCTGGTGCGGTGTGTAAAAACATCGCCACTGGGGAGACAAAGGCGGTCGGGCGTGGTGCTGGCCACCCACCCACCCCCTCGTGCGCCGTGCCGGCCTTCACAGGTGCTCGCTAACAGCACTTGCCCCTACAGTCTGTTGATGCTGTACAGGGGATTGTTGTTTTTCTTTGTCTTTGTGCATGTACCCTACGCGTACATGCATGCGTATGTGTGTGTGTAGAACCTAGCCGCACGAGTTCGATTCCCACTCATGCCCAACACCGGTGATGATTGTCTGAAGCGATTCTGGGCCTCCCCTAGGTCGACTCAGCCTCAAATAAGTACTCGGGAGACAAAGACGGCTGGGCATGGTGTTGGCCACCTACCCCCTCGTGTGCTGTGCCGGCCTTCGTAGGTGCTGCTCGTTATGGGTCTGTTCAGGCTATGGGGTGGTTCTTTTATGTGTGTTCGTACCTATGTGTCGTGTGTACACGCGCGTGTGTGTGTGTACACGCGTGTGTGTGTACACGCGTGTGCGTGTGTGTGTGTACACGCGTGTGCGCGTGTGTGTGTACACGCGTGTGCGCGTGTGTGTGTACACGCGTGTGCGCGTGTGTGTGTACACGCGTGTGCGTGCTCGTACGCACCCCCCGAGATGCACCGGCGTGCGATCTCCCACAGGATGAGTCCGAAGCTGTACATGTCGGCCATGATGTACGACTGGAAGTGCTTGCGGTTGATGATCTCGTCCAGGAGCTCGGGCGGCATGTAGCGCTTGGTGCCCACGCGCCCGCTCAGCGGGATGTCCACCTCGTTCGTGTCGCTGCGGGGGACAGACAGAAACACGCGCCGTTACCGACGCGTGCGTTGGCGCCTCGCGCGATGGGGACGCGATGCAAACGGCGCTCGAGCGGAGAGGCCGTGCGGCTGTCGGGGGAGACTCGCCCCGTCCACGTGTGGATACGTCGAGAGAAAGGGGGCTTCGCTGAAAGTTTGGTAGGATCAAGAGTCTCGTGGCGTACGCGAGCGCCGCAATGCCCCGCGTCACGTGTGATGCCATCGCGATGACATCACACGCGACGCGACACGGCCAACAACAACAACAACGACAGCCGTCGTTCGCCACTGAGTGGCGGTGATGTCACCACTGCACTTGTGGCAACACCACCAAACCGCCTCACACACAGTACATCCCACACACACCGCACACTCCACTCACACCCCACATACACGCCACACAACACACACAGACCCCCCCACACAGACCACACACATACACACAGGCCCCACACACACACACACACACGGCCCACGCACACGCACCTCTAACACACACACACACACACCGCACACACACACACACACACCGCACACACACACACACACACCGCACACACACACACACACACAGACCCCCCCCACACACCTGTTGAACTTGACCGCGAGGCCGAGGTCGGCGATGCAGCAGGTGCCGTTGCGCTTGACCAACACGTTCTTGCTCTTGAGGTCTCGGTGGGCGATCGCCGGCTTGCCCTGCGTGCCGTGGATCTCCGTGTGTAGGTGGCACAGCCCGGCGGCCGCCGAGTAGGCGAGTCGGAGCACAGCGCGCGGGTCCAGCGTGGTGCACTTGAGGTAGTCGTACAGGGAGCCACTCTCGTGGTAGTCGGTGATGAGGAACAGCTGCGTCCAGGAGCCCGTGCCCTTGATGTCGGCCGCGATGAAGCCTGCGGGAGCGAGATGTCAGCTCCGTCCACCCCCCGGTGTGTTGCGCAGCTAAACGGGAAACCGTCGTAGGTTTTTTTGCGCACGTGAGGTCGCTCGACCCCCCCCTTGCGCGTTCAGGGACGTCCGCGAATCGGGCTGCGGTGTTCACGCGTGTGTGCGAAGTGACGCAAAAGTTGAAGACGTAAATATCGTTGGGCTTCGCTGTGACGGTTGGTAATGAATGCTGATTTAGATTGTGAGCAAATTTCTGAATTATGGATTTATAATCTAAACAATTTTTAGTTTGACCAGGTATGGCCCACTGAGCTATAGCGACCTGGCCACCACAAATGATAGCTCAACGAAGTGGCTTCGTCATCACGTGGCAATGCATAGCAGCCACGCACTCTGAACGCGTTGATTCTAAACGCGGAGGGAAAAACCGGAGGAGCCGGAGAAAAATCCACGCAACCAAGGGGAGAGACACAGAGACACGCAAACACCAAATGTACAGCAGGCGTCAAAAGTGGGCACGCGGGTGCAAGGAATGAAATGGTTGCCGCCTGTCCGGCCACCCTCCCCGCCCCTGTTAGCCTGGCGCCTGGGGGCCCTCGGTGTCCCTGGGCCCTGGTGCAGTTGCACCGCCTGCACACTCAAGACTGTGCCAGGCTGACGTGCGCAACGTCGTGGGCCCGCCGACGCGTTTTGCTTTTGGTCACAAACGCGCCCGGCGCCAGCCGTCGCACGCACGCAGGCGCGCGTCACGCCCCCGGGCACGCGGACGCGCAGCAAAGGCAAAGGTCCCCCGTGTAGCCCCTAACGGGCGGTCGAGGCAAGCGCCGCTAAGCCTAGCGGCGAGCGTGAGAGCCCGACCGCGGTGCGGTACGAGGGGGGTGGGTTGGCCGGCACCACCGCGCCCGGCCGCCTTCTGCTCACCGGTGGCGATGTGCATTGCTCATTTGAGGCCGAGTCGACCTCGGGGAGGCCCGAGACCGGCTCAGATAATCATCACTGGCGTTGGTGGCTGTGAGCGGCACTCGATCCCGGGCGGGTGGCCGGGTTCGTAGCGCAGTGTAGAAGCTAACCACGACGCCACCGCTCCCCATGCACGTACTTCATTCGCAGGTTATGTTTAATAGGATTGGATTGTTTTTGCCGGGTCCCCTTGAGCTACATTGTTTTCGCTTTGCCTTGCGCCCGGCGCAGCCAACTTCCGCGCGCCAACAACGTTCCCTCGGGATGACTGGGCCTGCCTCTCACGAACTACAACAACAACAAAACCGTCGCCACCACCACCGCCAGCGCCGAACTTGAGCCCGCTCCAAACACCTGCACGCCCCGCAGGCCGCGCTGTCACCGAGTCGCCATCCCTCACTGCGCCACCTCCACTCGCTGCTGCTGCTGCTGCTGCGCGGCTCTTTTAATAAAACGCTTCCTCAACACCCCCCCCCCCCCCACCGCGTGTTCATTCCCATCGTCTCCAGCCCGCACACTCCCACACACTCCCAAAGTCTCTCCCACACACGCGCACGCACGCGCACGCAAGCACACCCACAAACACACCTGCACACTCCCACAGTCTCTCCCACACACACACACACACGCACACACACACCTGCACACTCCCACAGTCTCTCCCACACACACACACGCACGCACGCGCACACACGCACGCACACACACACCTGCACACTCCCTCCCACACACACACACGCACGCACACACACACCTGCACACTCCCACAGTCTCTCCCACAGACACGCATGCGCAGTCTCTCCCACACACAAATACTTCCACAGTCTCTCCTACACATACACGCCCACTCCCACACACACAAAGACAAAGATCCCCCGTATAGCTTTAACAGACTGTTGGGGCAAGTGCTGTTAGCGAGCACCTATGAAGTCAGGAACGGCACACGAGGGGGTGGGTTGACCAACACTGTGCCCAGCCACCTTTGTCTCCTTAGTGGCCATGTTTACACGTCGCAACAGATAATTATTTGAGGCTGAGTCGACCTAGGAGAGGCCCAGGACCGGTTCAGATAATCGTCACTGGTGTTGGTGGCCGTGAGCGGGAATCGAACTCGGCTCGCCGGGTTCGTAGCGCAGCGCGCTAACCGCTACAATACCGCTCCCCACACACACACACAGACAGACACACACCCCCCGCACGCGACTCCCCCGCACATGAACCCATACTAGTAGAGTAAAAACTCCTCCGATTGATCCGATTCCCTCTGTTCTCTGTTCCCTTCACAATTGACCTGCGCAAAGTCTTATCATCCGCGCGGGGATGCTTCCGGTCATCCGAGAGCTCGTCGGCGGATAAGAGACACCGCAAGTGATTTCGATGGTGGAGGCACCGGGATTCTCCCTTCCACGACGAGCGTGAACGACGCTGAACCGCGCTCGAACACGACACGGCGGATGCGCCGTGCACGTTCCATCAATGGAAGATCGAAGAATCGCCCGGCTGCGACTGTGGAGAAGTCCATTCATTTGTGACGATCGTTAAGAAAAGCCAAAGTGTTGCTGTTCACAATGCCATACGAAAGAAGAAGAGGAAGAGGAAGAAGAGGAAGAAGAGGAAGAAGAGGAAGAGGAAGAATAAGAATAAGAAGAAGAAGAAGAGGAAGAGGAAGAAGAAGAAGAGGAAGAGGAAGAAGAAGAGGAAGAAGAAGAGGAAGAAGAAGAGGAATAAGAAGAGGAAGAAGAAGAGGAAGAAGAAGAGGAAGAAGAGGAAGAAGAGAAAAAAGAGGAAGAAGAGGAAGAAGAGAAAAAAGAGGAAGAAGAGGAAGAAGAGGAAGACGAAGAAGAAGAGGAAGAAAAAGAAGATGAAGAAGAGGAAGAAGAAGAAGAGGAAAAAGAGGAAGAAGAAGAGAACTAAGAAGACGAAGAAGAGGAAAAAGTGATTTCCGCGAGCTGATAAAGATTCCTCCCATTAATCACACTTAGAGCCGTGGGTACAGGGCACCCAAGCGTCGTCCTTCCGTAAGAGCTCATCCCCTTTCATATTTTATTCCCAACATTTTCGTTGCGGATTAAGAGGAGCGTCCCAGAAGTGGCGGAAATGAATGCGCGCATCATCACGCAGATGAAAAAAAGAAAGCAAAATCGTCTGGGTGCATGCGGATAACAAACGGGTTTGCCCTTCCAACTTCTCACAGCCAAATCGGATTGGAGGGATTTTTTTACCAATCACGTCGTGATTGATTTATTTTAATATAATTTTACTACATACGTGCCTTCACCGAAAAAAACAATGAGGAATTTTTACCGTATAAAATTTTCCCCGATAAAATTGGGGCAATTTTTACCGTGTAAAATCATAATGTCCTAATCTGGAAAACAAAAATGTTTGCTTTCGGGCCCCACAAAATCTACTTATGCCGTATATAGTTATTTTTTATGCGAAGTTAAATTTGTCAGAGCATTTATAAATCATTATTACTTTCTGCCGTAACTAATTATAATTATTTTCGCATTACGCAAAAACACGTTAACAATAAGTAATTGGCTGTAGCAACAACAAAAAAGTGTGCTTATTATTCATCGCGCTTAATGATATATTACCATAACCGCTAATTAATAAATTCGTTCATAGTTCCCACGCGCAAATACCACGGCGCTCTGTGTGCCCGGCAGACAAACGCACGTTTTGTGTCCGCACAGCAAAACCACGCCAACGCCAACCGCAGCCTCCACCGCTAAAAATAATAATAATAATAAATCCCGAACCGTATCAAAACAAGCGCTGACCTACACCGCGGAACCCACATCACAGCTCACACCTGCACTCCATTAATAAACACGTTCCATTTCTTATTTTCTTCCCCCCCCCTCCACCCACTCCACCAATCCTGCAGACACGCAGTGCTGTCTCCCTCACCACACGACCGCCACCACCGCCGCCGTGATGGATGGATTTTTGCCACACGTGCGCAAAGACACGCACCCCGCACGCACGCACGCACGCCGAGACAGCATTCCTGCCGCGCTTCTCCTGCCTCAATCCATCACCTGTTGAATTATTAATAATTACGGCCACGCGATTAGGTTCACTTTATGATCATGCGAAAGCTCTGTACGTCCGTACGCCTGCTGTATGAGAACGCTCATGCACGGCGTGGCGAAATGCTCATGAACACGGTCCGATGTACGAGCAGGACTGCGAGGGTAACGTTGCGTTACTGTTGGAGACTCTCCCGAAAGAAAAACCCAAAGCGTGATGCACAAACCAGAGCTCAAGGAGGACGATGCTATTTGCAAATGTGAAAATGCATTTTGCCCCGACAGCTTCCGAACTGCTAATTAAATCCTTTGGAGGGCAAAAACGCGCGTTGAAAAGCGTTACATAATATCCCAGCGCGTGCGCATTTCTTAACTTGTTCGTATTTTTTTCGTTGCAGCTGCCATCATCGATCGGAGCTTTCCATTTCATCGCCAGTACGCTTGCTCACTCACTCGCTCGCTCGTTTATTTACTTTCTCAGCGCAAAAGGATTAAATTGGGCCCTTTGGCTCCTTTAAATGAAAACAAATTGCTCGCGATTTAAACATTTACATGAATTATTCAGGGCGACCTCCGAGAGAATTGAACCGCCTGCGAACGCGCCGCGTGTTTATCGTTATTTATCGCGCGGGGGAAGCCATCGATCATCGTGCGCCGCTTATCATCGAGCCGCGGTGAAGTGTGCTCACATTTCGGTCCTCCGTCTGACGTGGGAGTGGGGGGGGGTCGGCAACCGACATTACATTTTTTGTTGCTAATTCGGTAGAAAAAAGCTCAATATTCCAAGAGCCACACTGCGTGGTGAATACGAAACGGTGGTCCTTAATAAATTACGTCACGAAGCAGTCCTTAAAGAGCCGGGGGCTGCCGACCCCTGCCCATGGTAAAACTGGACTCCCATGGTAAAACTGGACGTCCATGGCAAATTGGACGTCCATGGAAATCTGGACTCCCATGGAAATCTGGACTTCCAGGGTAAACTGGACTTCCCGGGAAAACTAGACTTCCCTGGAAAACTGGACTTCCATGGTAAACTGGACTTCCATGGCAAATTGGACTTCCATGGCAAACTGGACTTCCCTGGAAAACTGGACTTCCATGGCAAATTGGACTTAAATGGCAAATTGGACGTCCATGGAAATCTGGACTCCCATGGAAAAATGGACTTCCAGGGTAAACTGGACTTCCATAGCAAATTGGACTTCCATGGCAAACTGGACTTCCATGGTAAACTGGACTTCCATGGCAAATTGGACTTCCATGGTAAACTGGACTTTCATGGCAAATTGGACTTCCATGGTAAACTGGACTTCCATGGAAAACTGGACTCCCATGGTAATTGGACTTCCAGGGTAAACTAGACTTCCCTGGAAAACTGGACTTCCAGGGTAAACTGGACTTCCACGGAAAACTGGACTTCCAGGGTAAACTGGACATGGAAAACTGGACTTCTATGGAAAACTGGACTTCCAGGGTAAACTGGACTTCTATGGAAAACTGGACTTCCAGGGTAAACTGGACTTCCAGGGTAAACTGGACTTCCCTGAAAAACTGGACTTCCATGGAAAACTGGACTTTCATGGCAAATTGGACTTCCATGGCAAACTGGTCTTCCATGGTAAACTGGTCTTCCCTGGAAAAATGGACTTCCAGGGCAAACTGGACTTCCCGGGAAAACTGGACTTTCCTGGAAAACTGGAATTCCCGGGAAAATTGGACTTCCATGGTAAAACTGGACATCCATGGCAAATTGGACGTCCATGGAAATCTGGACTCCCATGGAAAAGTGGACTCCCATGGTAAACTAGACTTCCATGGAAAACTGGACTCCCATGGTAATTGGACTTCCAGGGTAAACTAGACTTCCCTGGAAAACTTGACTTCCAGGGTAAACTGGACTTCCATTGTAAACTGGACATGGAAAACTGGACTTCTATGGAAAACTGGACTTCCAGGGTAAACTGGACTTCTATGGAAAACTGGACTTCCAGGGTAAACTGGACTTCCCTGAAAAACTGGACTTCCATGGAAAACTGGACTTTAATGGCAAATTGGACTTCCATGGCAAACTGGACGTCCATGGAAATCTGGACTCCCATGGAAAAGTGGACTCCCATGGTAATTGGACTTCCAGGGTAAACTGGACTTCCATGGTAAACTGGACTCCCGTGTTCAGGGGTTGGCAACCAAAATAACAAGAGCCATTTTTTTCGAATTCAGTAAAAAACTCAATATTTCAAGAGCCGCAAATGCAGTCTGTAAAGGGTCACACGCGGCTTCAGAGCCGCAGGTTGCTGACCCCTGAGCAAGGAGGTGGCTCCGTGGCTCAAGGGGTCAGAGGTGCACCGAGCCTGGCGCAGCCGAGACTACCAAGTTCGAATCTGTGGCTGTTGCTCTAACTTTCTGACCCGCCCCTGCCGAACATGACGGCCACCGCATTGCGAGCTTTCAAATGCGCTTCCGCGACAGTCTGGAACGCCCTTCCGTCTGATATTAGGAAGTCACTGGAGCTACGCACTTTTAAATCATCTAGATCAGCAAACTAATTTCTTTAGAACATATTTTTATCTTTATTTTGTTGTCCATGGGACGCAAGCGGCGCCAGCGCTTTGCGCCGTGCCCGGCAACGCTTTTCTCGGCCGCCGTCACCGCCCCTGCCGTGGCCTCTCACCCAGGATGTTGTCATGCCGCATGAGCACCGTCTGATAGATCTCCGTCTCGCGGAACCAGCTGGCCTCCTCGGTCGTGAAGAACACCTTGACGGCCACCTTCTCCCCACGCCAGCGCCCCATCCACACGTCGCCGTAGCGGCCCTTGCCGATCTGCCGCACCATCTGGATCTGCTTTGCGATCGTGCGCTGCACCTGCGGGGAGGGGCACGTGCGACAGCGTCGGTACGTGCACGTGCGTAGCGTAGCGTGCACTGTTTGTACATTGGTTTATCTGAGTAAATAAGAGTACCGTACACGTCTCCTTCACATATCCCGTCTCTCCACGTGAAAATGTTGAATTTGAAAAAAATACGCAACCCACCAGCCACACGGCCTTCTGGGAGTTCTTTGTCCCGGCAGCATTGTTTCATGACAAGCAAACTCTGGACCAGTTTCGACACGCGGTGTCTCATCAGCAGAGTCAATCTTGCTCCAGCAAATTCTTGGTTCTACATGGTGACTTTACCAAAATAACCAAGAATATGAATCCCTGCAGTCACGAAAGCTTTAAATCGAAATTTGCTCCAGAAAGTCCACATAAATGAGGTGCTGGTGTGGCCGTCACCACACCCGGCCGTCTTTGTCTCCTAAACATCTCATGTTTACACACACATCATTATCAAGGCTCAGTCGCTCTACAGGACGGGGTGAGGCCCAGGACCGGATCCGATGATTGTCACCGATGTTGGCCCGTGAGCGGGAATCGAACTCTGGTTACCAGGTTTCGTCGCGCGGCACGCTAACCGCTACGCTACTGCTCCCCACACATACACACGTACACACACACGTACGTACACACATACACACGTACGTACCAGCAGTGGGAGCCCCGAGCCGCTGCCCGAGCTCTGGCACTGATCGAAGAGGTCACGGAGCGTCTCGCCGGGCGCGATGAACGTCTCGTGCTGCTCGGGGTCGAGCACGTACGGCCGCAGCTCCGCCTGCTTCCGGTGCCTGCAGCCACGGCGGGGGCATGGGGAGAGTGCGAGGTCGAGGGTGAGAGGGCGAGAGAGCGGTGGGAGAGAAGCGAAGGCCAGACTGGAGGGCGTGTGGCACAGTTTGTCGCCGGCCGTCACAGAGTGCGGTCGTGGTCACTACGGTTCTCTGCGGCGAGTGCACAGTCTTTAAAAACAGCGGCGCTACTATGCCTCTCGAAATAAAAGTGACGCCGAACCGTTTGGGCGCGTACCGAGAATCAGCGGTGAATGGGACACCCACCCTGTAACTCGCAGATGTCTCGGAATGGGAACGGATTTAATGAGTGTTGATACACGTGGGAGGAAACCAGAGCATGAGGAAAGGGAAATAGTTCATCCCATAAAAAAGTAACAGATGATATTAGTCCGTGCTTTGCTGTTCCGCCTTGTATGTAAGTTGAACATCTTTCGAACCGTACGGAGCCAACCGTGCTAATCGGAGGTACGGAGGAAGGTCAACAAACTAAACACAAACAGCAGTTGTAAACACACGAGTTGGAATCACATGAGTTGTAAACACATGCGTTTTCAATCTAGACTTAAAAGTGCATCGCTCAAGTGGGATTCCTGAGCAAGGCAGTTCGTGGGCACATCCATCATCTGTGGAGGTTCACAACTCGTCTGTGGAGTGGTCCGCCAACCCTCACTGCTGCTTCCATAGTGCTGGATTCCAGGACACGTGCGGAGAGACAGCGCCCACCACTCACCGCTCACCGCTCACCGCTCACCGCCCACCGCTCACCACCCACCGCTCATCACCCATCACCCACCGCTCACCGACCACCGCCCACCACCCACCACTCACCACCCACCACCCATCACCCACCCCACTAGGATATACGTTTTTAGACAGAGGTATATATATCCATCACGTCGATTATCCAAACAACCTTTATTCGGCCAAAAATGTGAACTGGAAACCCAATAATGCAGGTCCCCCACCCCCTCTTCCGTGTGCGCGAGACGGAGGCCGAGTGAATGATGCACACAGACGGATTAGCCAAGAGGCGGCTCATTCAGCGATTTTTAATTTAAGAGTCAGTCAAGCGTCAACAATGTCTACATACAATGACAAGGATCCCCCCGCCCCCGTATAGCCTCAACAGACTGTTGGGGCAAGTGCTGTTATAGCGAGGGGTGCCTGTGACGGCTGGCACGGCACACGAAGGGGTGGGTGGCCAGCCAACACGCTCGGCCGCCTTTGTCTCCCCAGTGGCGATGTTTACCGCACGCCGTACCGGGTACTCGTTTACGGCCGGGTCGACCCAGGACCGGTTCAGATTGTCGTCACTGGCGCTGGTGGCCGTGAGGCGGAATCGAGCTCGGGTCGCCGGGTTGGTAGGTGCAGCGTGCTAACCGCTGCACCACCGCTCCCCTAGGCATGTACACGCGCACGCGTGCGTGCGTGCGTGCGCGCACCACACAGCGAAACAAAGACCTCCCGTTGAGCGGTGTGGATTGGTCGATTCCTAGCACCGACGAAGGCCGGCTCGCGGTGCACGCCGTGGGGGTGGCCGAGACCCATCGGCAACATTGCCCAGCCACCTTTGTCTCTCCCTCCCCCCCCCCCACCGTCTCTCACCTGAAGTAGAGGAAGAGGAAGAGCGACAGAAGTCCCAGGACGCAGAGGCAGACGGCGAACAGCATCACCATGTGAGTCATGCTCAGGCCCACTGCAACACGGTGACGCACGCGCACAGAGACAAAGATCACCCGTGTAGCCTTAACCAGACCTGTTGGGGCAAGTGCTGTGAAGGCCGGCACGGTGCACACACCTGTCAACCCATACGGTTTACCCCGGATTCGTGCGCAGGGAAATTGAGTTTTCAGGCCCGTACGGCGGACAGCCGTTTCAATGCGGGCGAATAAGAATGTCTATTTGTTTGTGTTTCTCCCTTGTGATGGGAACTTTGTAGGATGAACGTTGAGATTTATAAGGGCATGGGGTGACCAATAAGGTCTGAATTGGTCTGTAATAAGGTTGGCCACTGATAAGAGGTTGACAGGTGTGGGTACACAAGGTGGTGGGGGTGACCAACACCACACCCGGCCGCCTTTGTCTCCCCAGTGGCAATGTTCACACACTGCGCTGGGCACTCGGTTGAGACCGAGTCGACCTAGCGGAGGCCCAGGACCGGTTCAGATAATCGTCACCGGTGTTGGTGGCCGTGAACGGGACTCGAACTCGGGCCGCCTGGCTCGTAGCGCAGCGTAGCGCTAACCGCTCCGCTACCGTGCACACTCACTGCTACGCTACCGTGCACACTCACTGCTACGCTACCGTGCACACTCACTGCTACGCTACCGTGCACACTCACACACGCAACATGCGCGCGCGAGCACACACACACACACACCGCTGTAAGCGAGCGCCTGTGGAGGTCGGCATGCGGGGGGCCAGGGGGTACAGGTCGTTGGGCCGGTGCCACACGCCACGGCCTGGCCCGTTGTTCGGAGTGCCGCCGTGCTAATTTTAGGCCGAGTTGACCTATGGGAGACCCGCGCTGCTTTCAGCGGCAGGTATCGATTGCCGCTGCGTGGCCACCACCGTGATTTATACTGCCAGCAGCAGCAGCAGCAGCACCACCACCACCGTGATTTATACTGCCAGCAGCAGCAGCAGCACCACCACCACCACCGTGATTTATACTGCCAGCAGCAGCAGCACCACCACCACCACCGTGATTTATACTGCCAGCAGCAGCAGCACCACCACCACCACCGTGATTTATACTGCCAGCAGCAGCCGCAGCACCACCACCACCGTCGCCACCATCGGTAGACCGGAGTATACGGCACGTGGCTAACTGGTAGTCGAGATTTACTGGACGTGGTGTGCTGCATCCAGTGTACACGTGCGAGACGAAAGATCCCCCGTATACCCTGAACAGGCTGTTGGGGCAAGTGGTGCTCGTGAGCACTGACGAAGGCTGGCACGACACGCGAGGGGGTGGGGTGGCCAACATCACGCCCGGCCGACCTTCGTCTCCCCGGGGTTCATGTTCACATACCACAACATGTACTCATTTGACGTTGAGTCGACCTAGGGGAGGCCCAGGACCGGTTCAGATAGTCGTCACTGGTGGTTGTGGCCGTGAGCGGGAATCGAACTCGGGTTGGCCGAGTGTTGTTGCGCAGCGCGCTAATCGCTACATTACCGCTCCCCGCACACACACACGTGCAGGGACACACACACACACACACGTGCAGGGACACACACACACACACGTGCAGGGACACACACACACACACACGTGCAGGGACACACACACACACACGTGCAGGGACACACACACACACACGTGCAGAGACACATACACACACAAGTGCAGAGACACATACACACACACGTGCAGGGACACACACACACGTGCTCAGGGGCAGCACCCTCACCTGGCTGTGGGGGTGGCGGTGGCAGCGTGGGTACGAGGTCCAGGTTGCAGTAGTTGTAGTCGGAGCAACACTCGATGGCTCGGCGAACTCGAGCCATCTTCGTGTCCTGGAGTGGCAACGGCAGCGTGCTCACGGGTTAGCGACATGTGCGTGCTCTCACCGGCGACGTGCGATAATCGAGAGATAATTTGTACAACGTTCTCGAAGCGAGATTAATAACATAAGGCAATGGTAAATATGTACAGCAAAGTACGGACGAATAAACTGAATTTAACATGTAGGCTTTCGCGACCAATATCATCCGTAATAGAGGGTTTTGGGTTAGATGGTGTAAATATAAATGCGTCGTTAAAACCCGCCACCACCCGACACAGCCAACGAGTAAGGGTTGTCACGTAAACAGAACGTCGTGCGAGTCCTTTTAGCGCCGGCGTCGTCACTAGTACAGCACACCGGTGTGCTGTACTAGTGACGAATTGGCACCTTCTGTTTACGTGACAACCCTTGCTAGTTGGCTGTGTCGGGTGGTGGCGGGTTTTAACGACACATTTATATATTTACGCGATCTAACCCAAAAACCGCAATTATGAATAAACTCAAACTAAACTTTGTATCTTACCAGGTAAGGCCCACTGAGCTACATAGTTATTTTTCAGAAGCGACCTGGCCACAAATGATACCTCAATGAAGTGGCTTGTCGCGTGGAAATGTAAAGCAGCCAAACACCTTAAATGCATGTTGATTCTATAATGTGAAGAGAAAAACCGGAGGACCCTGGGCAAAGTCCACGTGAACGCAGAGAGAGAGAGACACACGCAAACTCCAAATATACAGCAGCAGGCGTCAGAGTTGGGGGTCGAACCCACGACCTCCTGTATACCATGTGAGGTAGTTAACATCTCCTAGCCACCGTGCCACCCATATCATCCGTCCCTTTTTGCAACGGGACAGAGCGTTACCCCCCCGCCACACGTGGGGTTTCTCCCGGTGACTCCCCCTTTTCCGCCCACACGTATGAACCAATTCATTGGCTGAAAACATCTTAATGTATGGAGGACTGCAGAGCTCACCGTCTCGCAGCCTTCCAGCTCGTCTGTGATCGCACGGCGATCGTGAGATGCAACTCGCATGAACGATGCCACATACACATATAAACATAAAACTAAACTGAACAACAGCACTAACAGTGCAGCTGTTGATCGAAGGTCACGCGAAATAAAGCGCCACGCGTTCACGTCCATAAACACGGAAGAGAAAAGTGGTGGACGCGCGTGCATTCTGGAAGGCCATTCCACCACGCGTTTTGTCCCGGAGAGCGTTAAGCTAGCGACGACAACGCCGCACGTCGAGCCGGGCGATGAGACGACGTCGCGGCGACGTCACAGGGAGGGGAGAAACTGTCGCGAGCGCTCCCCTTCCCGCAGCTCCGATTGGCGCGGGTTGGCTGCGCGCAGTGCGAACGGCGTTCAATGCAGAGCACGGACGCCGTCACGCAAGCCCTTTTAGCGCCGGCGTGTGACGTCACCACGTTGGCCGAAAAGGCTTCTCTCAATTAGCGACGGTATTTTCAATCGCCGAATTTCGGGCCACCCTTCGATAAATTCAGCCGGGGGTTCATTGTTGGACGAGTCGCGAATTCGCAGCGGAAATTTACACTTAAGGTTGAATTTTATATTTTATCGTCAAAATTTTGGACGGCCCTTACGATAAATTTGCCCGAGTTTATTATGATTGTTACAGGCCAAGCCGCCGATTCTCAGCGCAAGTTTACACGTAAGATTTCACTTTATATCGGATAACCTTTTGACTGACAGGGGCCTCATGAATTTCGATTTAAAGCTTTCGTGACTGCAATGATTAATTTTCTTTGGTTCTTTCGGTAAAGTCACGTAGAATGAGAATAAAATAATAAATTGATAAAATAAAATAACACAATAATATTCTCACGACGTTTCGGCCACAACACAAGCGGCCTTCATCATTGATGTGTTGTGGCCGAAACGTGGTGAGAATATTATTGTATTATTTTATTTTATCAATTTATTATTTTATTCTCATTCTACGTGACTTTACCGAAAGAACCAAAGAAGGGGCCTCATGCATTATTGGTTTCAACCCTGTCCGGAAAGCGTCATATATTTGTCCAAGAAACAACTGAAACAAATGTAGCCATGATCCTGCAACAAGGGTGCCGCACCAAACGATCGGCAGAACAGCGCGGGTCGGCGTTCGAGTGGACGGGCGGCCGGGCGAGAGGAGCGAGCGGGGCGAGCCCACCGTTGGAAGAGTGGCGTCAGCGTCCGCGCGAATCCGATTGACGGCCGCAGGTATTTACGACGACGGCCGGTGACGTCGCTTGGCTCGCCCGGTTGCAGAAATCCGGGGGCAAGCATGGAGGAGGCGGGGGGGGGGGGCAAGCGGGGATGGGAGGGGTGGGGCGCTCCTCGCTTTACAGGTGCTGCGTGACTCTCGCTATCCGGAGCCCATCGCTAATGCAAATGTTTGTGTGGTGGGCTGCTGTGATTAACCACCGTACCCCCCACGACCTCCTCCCCCTCCCCCGTGTGTTTGCAGTGAGATTTTTTTTTACAGCGGGCCGCGTGCAAATAAACCCAGGTGAACGTACGAAGGGGAGAGTGGGACGACAAACGTAGAAATAAATGGATGCATTCTTCACCAGGCTCCATATCGGATATCTCGATTGCCTATCCCTAGAAGCAGGTGCTTCTCAGCGAGCTATCGCGATATCCTGTTCGGACAAATGTCAGCGTTGTTATGGTGATTTCTTTCGTCTTAAAAAGTTTTGTTCCCCCCCTGGGTTCTTAAAACTGGCAAAAAGGAGCGGCTTTCGCGGGCAGTTGGGAGGTTCTTAAGTTAAACAGCAGGGCGGATTGAAACTAAAATAATTACCTGTATCTACTTGGGGAGTATGGAAGTGGTGGAACCGTTCTTTTTTTATGGCATGGAAACGGCGATGCACCGTGCTTTAAACCGAGCGATCCGAGTTCAATCCCAGGACATGGATAACATCTGTGGCGAGCGAAATGTGAGCCGGCCGTGGGCGGCATCGCCGACTAAAGCTAAACTATAAACTATTTTTATTTTACCAGGCAAGGCCCACTGAGCTCGAAAGCTTTTTTTTTTTCAGAAGCCACCTGGCCACAAAACGATAGCTCAACGGAAGTGGCTCATCACGTGGAAGTGCATAGCGGCAAAAAAAAACACTCTAAGCGCGTGACGTCGATTCTCAATGCGAAGGGATACACCGGAGGACCCGAAATAAAATTCCCACGCAACCACGTGGCGCAGAGACACGCAGACCTCCTGCATACCAGGTGAGCTAGTTAACATCTTGCCAACGTGCCACCCACATCATCGGTCCCTTTTGCACGGGATAGAGGCGGCAGGAAGCTCGATCGTGCCCGTGACCTACATCGTTCCGCGACGCGCCTCCTGACGTCCGCCGGCGTCGCCGGGGTCGGCACGAACGGCGGGTGAAGCCGTTCGTGCCGAGGGAGGCGCGCGTCCCGGGCTCACGCTTTTTTTACGACGGCCGGCGAGAAACGTTCATCGCCCGCACGCGACGATGCTCTCGACGGGATCGTTCGAAGGCGTGACGTCGCTATTTCCGTACGACGGAAGAAGACGAAGGAGGAAGAGGAGGAGGAGTAGGAAGAGAAGCACGAGGGGTATAGATCGTGGTGAGCGGGCTGCAGCGTGGGTGGGCGGTTGCTCTTACCCGGCACTGGAAGTCGGAGCCTTCCTTCTGCACGCAGCCCGAAGTCACCACCACGTCGCCCGACTCATCCTCCTCGATGATCGTGAAGCACTGCCCGTTGGTCCTGTTTCAGTTTTTGTTCCAACGAACGAGAAGAACGAGCGGATTCACTTTCAGGCGTCAAAATGCCGCTCCCCCCCCCGCCCCGCCCCGTACGGTGTGGATCCGAGTCGACTCCAACGGGAGATAGCTGCGTGTATCCCGCTCCCGCACGCCGTTCCCTAACGCGACGCAGCCCATCGCTGCTCCCGCGAGGTCTCCCGGGCGACGTGTCACTTCGTGACGACGGCGGTGGCAGCGCACGCAAGGAGACAAATCGGGGGGGAGCGGGGCGGGGGGTATGGGAAATTATTTCGAGAAAATCCGTTGCAGGATTGCTGTGTGATGGACACAGCAGGGCGTGTGAGGGGTAGCGCTCCGATTGGCACGGTTTGCTACGTACGGCGCGAAAGAAGTTCGGCGTACGTACACATGTACACTCGCTGCCCCTGGCGGCCCCCCCCCCCTTGGGAGAGGCGGCAGCGAGGGCATTGGATCGCGGGAGATGCGGTGTGAGACGCGCGAAGGCCCCGAGCTGTGATGACGTACGTGTACGGAACCGGGAGAAAAAGTGAAAAATAAAATCACTTCATCGGTACCGAGGCTCGCACCAGGGCGCGCGGGAGGGCGTGTGGCACAGTCTGGCGCCAGCTCCCGTAGAGTGCGGTGGTCGTGTCGCCACGGTTCTCTGCGGCGAGCGATGTCTTTAAAAACAACGGCGCTGCTACGCCTCCCTGAATAAAATGAACGCCGAGCCGCCTGCCATCTCCGAGAATCCCCTTCGGTTCTTAGTCTCGCCATGGCGATGGACTGCTGGCTCGATATTTATCGTGCTTAAGCGATTCGGTAAGAGCGATTCCTCAGCCGAAGCGGCGCTTACTCCCCAGCGACGCATACCCTGCTGCGACAAACGAGGAACTCCGAAGCCCGTCAATTCCCTCCTTGTGACGCGAACGAGTGGTGCGGTCGCTCACAAACGCGGCCTCCTCCGTGCCGTACGGGCGAGCGGGTGGACCAATAGCCGGGCTTTAGGATCGGTGGGGGCGGCGGGGGGGAGGGGGTAACGTAATAAAGTTCACCTTTCGCAACGTATAGAGCGCGTTTGGCAGGTGCTCGCTGTGTGCGCCGATATCGGCCGGTGTGTTTGGCGAGTGCGTGCCGTGGCTGCTGCCTGCGGTTTGTGCAGTGAGGTGTCAGCCAAAGCGTTTGTAAATAGACGCATGTGTCTGTGTGTGTGTGCGTGCGTGCGTGTGTGACTGGTACAGGAGGACGTGGAGCTGAGTGGACTTGCCGATGACTGGTACCAGCGGTGTCAAGATCGGCCTCTGTGGAGGAAGCTCGTGAAGGACGCTACTGGGCAGTTGGAGGCAGTCGCCCTCCAACAACAACGGGGGGCGGAGGAGCGACGCTCACAACAACGAGCGGAGCGCCGGGTTGCTAATGCACAGCAAGTTGGCACAGTAGGGGGCACAGGTGGTGCATCAGCCAGTCATCTCAGTCAGTCGACCCGTGGCACCTGGGTCTGCCCCGTGACCTCCTGCCAGCGGGCGTTCGACACTTCACGAATGGCGGTTGTTGTTGTTGTTGTGTGACTGTGTGCCTCTGTGACTGTGCACGCGTGGGGTGAGTGGTGGCGCAGCGGTTAGCACGTTGCACTATGAACCTGGCGACCCGAGTCTTATTCCTGAACTCGGGTCACCGAGTTAGGTGCTGCTCGCTAACAGCACTTGCCCCAACAGTCTGTTACAGGATAAACGGGAAATCCTTCTGTTTGCGAGTGTGGCGATACCGGTGGCGGCGTTTGTTTTCCAGGTAGGCATGCAAGTGCGCGTGCGGTTGGGGTAGCAGTGTTGGCAGTCCGGCGAGTGAGCGCGGGGTGGCGAGGAAGGTGAGCGTGGCGAGCGTGGCGAGCACGTGGTGAGCGTGGCGAGCACGTGGTGCGCACGGAGAGGGTGGTGTGCACGTGGTGCGCACGGAGAGGGTGGTGTGCACGTGGTGCGCACGGAGAGGGTGGTGTGCACGTGGTGAGCGTGGCGAGCACGTGGTGCGCACGGAGAGGGTGGTGTGCACGTGGTGAGCGTGGCGAGCACGCGGTGCGCACGGAGAGGGTGGTGTGCACGCGGTGCGCACGCCGAGCGAGCGTCTGCGTACCGGCAGGTGCCGTTGACGTGGCTCTCGGGGCAGTGGTGCGAGCAGTGGCACCACAGGGAGCCCAGGACGTGGTCTGGCACTGGCGTGGGGGCGTCCTGCTGCGCCCTCACCGCTCCCCCACGCAGGACTCCGTCCAGACCCTCGCCTGCAAACACAAGCACAAAGATCCCCCCCGCGTAGCCTTCAGCAGGCCGTCGGGGCAAGGGCTGTTCGCGGGCGCCTTGGCGAAGGGCGCTACGGTGCACCGATCGAGGGGGCGGCCGGAAACCACGCCCGGCCGCCTTCGTCTCCCCTGTGCCGATGTTTACACATCGCAGGCAGGCTCTGCGCTCGTTCGAGGCCGCGTCGACTCAGGAGAGGCCCAGGACCGGTTCGGATATTCGTCACCGGTGTTGGCCGTGAGCGGGACTCGAACTCGGGCGGCTGCACCACGCGGCAAGGTCCATTTAGCCGACACGTTTTACTTCGCCCAAGTCTGCCGTGGTGTGACGTGGCCAACGCGCTGGGGTGAGCTGGCTCAATCTCCTGGCAAGGCAGCTGAAAGAATGGTGCGTCAATGGTAGTGATGCATGTATTTGTGTGGTGGTGGTGGTGGTGATGCTGGTGGTGGTAATGAAAGTGGTAGTGGTGGTGGTGGTGGTGATGATGATGGTGGAAACGGATGGAGATGATGATGATGATAGTGAGTGATATTGGTGGGCAGCATTGGTATCGCACCCATTCATCGTTATCGCTGAATAAGAGGACATAAATATAATTTGCTCACGACGCAATCACAAATTGCTAACGATCCATTTCTGCACTTGGACGGCTGCGGGGAACAGAAAGCGACCCCCACCCCACACACTGGATGAAAGGAATGAGGAAGAGGGAAGCTTTCACAAACACAAAATTACCAACCCCCACTTCCAACTCCCCTCACCATAACAAAAGACAAAAACTGGCTGCCCATTCCCCTCGACTTCTGATCAGCGCAAAAACACACAAAGCCGATTCTCGTCACGAGCGTGGAACGGATCAGAGATGCCGCAGGTCACACGGCAGAAGGCCCAAAATACGCTGCAAGGCAAGCTGGGCAAACCGGTCACGTAAGCGAGCCTCCTCCTCACTTGAACTCATCACGGCGAGTAGTAAAAACTTGAACGGAGTGTACTTAACGCGTTTGTGTAAAAAGTTTACTGTGATAAGGTTTTGTGAGCTGCTCCTGTGCGGGCTCGTGTCTTTCATAAGGTCAGTGCGAGGAATCTACGTTCTCTCTTGACATAAAATGTTTCGCTCTGGATGACCGCTGCAAAGTAGTAACTGTATTTTGATTGTGTGCTGATCTTAAAGGTGCATTGAAAAATGTGATACTCCGACTGATGCTCCTGTTGTTGTGGAGTGACTCATGCAGTCAGCTATGGCTTTAGGGTTTGGTGTTACATGTTATTTATGTAGTTTATTGTAAAAAAATTCGGTCACAGTCCCTATGATCACTGTTACATTGCATTTATGGCTTTATTTTGGTGATTTCGAAAAGTTTTATGGTTTGGCCATGTTTTTGTTTATTGTAGTACGGAGTTAGACTGATGGCCTCAATCTTAGTTGTCTTGTGGTTGTTGTTGTTGTTTGACTTGCATCCCACTGGGATTTTTGCACACAGCGTTGGTGTACGGTGCTTTTTAAGGAATATTTTGCTGTTTTTTTCCTGGATTTTCTGTTTGCACAGTTCCATAGTCACTTTAAGATGTTTTCTTGTTCATGTTTTTGTTATTTGTTTGTTGTGGTTGCACCCGATTCAAGAGCCGAATGGCTCACAGGGCTATACCAAATAAATGGAACTATGAACTATTTGTCCTGTTGTTGTTTTTTTACACCCATCTTTAACGTCTGTTTATTTGCCTTTTGTTTTGTTAAGCCCTTGGTCGATCTACTGCTGGATTTGGCGCATCACCGCGGTAAGAGGGTTGGCGAGGAACTGGTTCAGAATTCACAAACAAAACGGCCATAATGCACTTTTCAGAGGCAGTGTTTTTTTTGTAAGTTGTTGGAAAGATATTCTTGGTTCTTTCGGTAAAGTCACGTAGAAGGGAAACAATAAAATAATAAAAATATAAAACAATACAATTCTCACGGCGTTTCGACTGCAACGCAAGCAATCATCATCAGGTGTGAAAACCACAACAAGAAAATTTGAAAAAATTGGCGGTTATTTTTAACGTTAGTACCACGGATAGCGATTTGACAGTTTGTTCAGATGGACGAGTCCATCTATGTTTGGAAAAGAGGAGGGGGGAGACGAAAAATAATGGATGCGGTCTGAAAGCCACCTTAAGCGTGATCAATCAAATAAGACCCGAAATGGTTTATCAAATCCTTCCAATGATTGCTAAGCCAGAATCCATCTTCTCGGTTGAAATTGTCTCTGTGTTTGTATATGTGGATAGCCTCATGAACGAATCTCACCTGATGATGATTGCTTGTGTTGCAGTCGAAACGTCGTGAGAATTTTATTGTTTTATAATTTTTATTATTTTAATGTTTCCCTTCTACGTGACTTTATCGAAAGAACCAAGAATATGAATCCCTGCAGTCACGAAAGCTTTAAATAAAAATGTTGGAAAGATGTTGAATGTGCCCGAGGTGCCAATAAAGTTATTGAAATCTGCTCACACACGCACTGATATGTTAACTACCTCGCCTGTTAACGCAGGCATATTTGGAGTTTGCGTGGATATTTTTTTCCGGGCCCTCCGTTTTTTTCGTCCACATTTAGAATCAACATCACGAGTGTTTGGCTTCTATACGTTCCCACGTGATGATGATAAGCTACTCCGTGGAGCTATTATTTGTGGCCATGTCGCTTCTGAAAAGTAGCTACTACAGCGCCAGTGGGCGTTACCTTGTAAAATAAAAACAGTTTAGTTTTTAGTTTGATGATTGTGTGGTGGAGGTGTGGCGTGGGGTGCGGTGTGGGGGTAGGGAGAGCGCAGAGCTTTGGGGACCGACCCAAGTGACCCGTGACCTCGCCATCCCCTGGGGTGTGAAATATCAGAGCTCCACGTAAATCCGTCTCCCTTTTGTTTGCTCAGGCGGGAGGAGGAGAGGAGGAGGAGAGGAGGGTGGTTGGTTGGTAGTGGTGGTGGTCACTGGGAAGAGCACGGAGGAGAATAAAAGCGGTGCAGGGGGTGGCGAGCGGCATAAAGGAATACATCACGGGCAGGACGCGACAAACGCGTGGGGTTGCGTGGGGGTTGCGTGGGGGTTGCGTGGGGGTTGCGGGCGGTGGAGAGCAACCTCGATGCAGACTCTTGACAACAATCGCGACGGTTTGCCAGCGTCTCTCTCTCTCTCTCCCTGCCCATCTCCCTCCCCTCCCTCCCTCTCTCTCTCACTCTCAACCGTTCGGCGTGTGCCGCTTGCACATTGAACTTCTTTCGCGTCCTACGCAGCCAACCGTGCTAACCGGAGGTGCGGACGCGGCATTGTTGAGTCTCACGTCGCCGGTTGGAGGGTTGACTCAGCCCATCGTTCCGTAGGGGGTCTATAAAATGAGCACCACAATGTGTGGGGACGTGGAGGGGGGGGGGGGAAGGGTGAGAGTCAACTGCGGGTGTCCTGGTGGAGAGCCTCGTCCCCGCCATAGCAATGCCGAGTGTCCACCCCTGGTTCAGGGCTGCGAGCGTCAGGACGAGCGGCGCACATTCCAGCAGGACATCACTTCACGCGACTTGAGCGACACACCTACGGAATGAACAACTTGCCTGCCTGCCTGCCCTGGAGATAGTGTTTGCGGCCAGCACCTATCTCTTGTTTAACTTTGGGGGTGGGGGGGGTAACGATTTGGTTTTTTTCCTCCCTCCTACATCCCCTCCCCCTCCTCCTCCTTTCTGTCACCCTCCACCCCACCCTCCTCATCCTCACCCCAAGCCCCCAGAGCTTTTTGTTTTATAACTTATCGCTGTGTGCGCCCTTTGGCCCTGAAGCCACACAACACTCTGGTGGTGCAACACTCACAGTCTGAAGTCACACACACAGTCTGTGGTGGTGTAACACTCACAGCCTGAAGTCTCACAGTCTGTGGTGGTGCAACACTCACAGCCTGAAGTCACACACACTGTGGTGGTGTAACACTCACAGTCTGTGGTGGTGTAACACTCACAGTCTGAAGTCACACTCACAGTCTGTGGTGGTGCAACACTCACAGCCTGAAGTCACACACACTGTGGTGGTGTAACACTCACAGTCTGTGGTGGTGTAACACTCACAGTCTGAAGTCACACTCACAGTCTGTGGTGGTGTAACACTCACAGTCTGAAGTCAGGGTCGCCAGGATTCTTGGTGTAGTGCGCTAACCACTACACAACCACTACACCACCGCTCCCCACACATGCATAAGCACGCACGCGCATATGCACATGCATGAATGTACTTACATGTACAACATGCTAATACAAACACACGCATACAGCATGCATCACGTACATGCATATACATATGCACACACACACACACTCGCAGACGCACGCGCGCAACGGCAAGCTTGGCAGGTGTCATTGGGTTCTGGATGAGTCGAGGGATTCACGACTCGACGAGGTTTTTCAACGGCTCTGTCAAAGGAAGCATTCGGCAGTTTTTTTATTTATAGTGTTCGCTTCGAAAAAAGCGCAGCACAAAGCGAGCGACTGAGGTGGTGCCCCGCAGTGTCGCGTTGTGTTTGGCTCGCACAGACTGTAGGGGCAAGTGCTGTTAGCGAGCACCTATGAAGGCCGGAACGGTACACGAGGGGGTGGGTGGCCAGCACCACACGCCCGACCGCCTTTGTCTCCCCAGTGGCAATGTTTTTATCCACCGCACCAGCTACTCATTTGAGTCTGAGTCGACCTAGGGGAGGCCCAGGACCGGTTCAGATAATCGTCACTGGGTGTTGGCCGTGAGCGGGAATCGAACCCGGGTCGCCAGGTTCATAGCGCAGCGTAGCGCTAACCGCTACACCACCGCTCCCCACACACACACACGGACACACAGACACACACACAACGTGCCAGGCGGATTATTGCACCGTGGGGCTTTGCGAGAGACGTTGGCGCAAATGGGGGAAGATCTTCATCCCATGACGGACGATGACGATGATGATGATAGTGCTGCCGCGTAGGTGACATCCTG